ATAGTCCTGTCCAAGAAAGAATCATCTTTACTTCAGAGTTGTAATGACAAACTGAGAACAGCAAAGAGGGTAAACTCAACACTCTCACTGTGCTTATTGTTCATGGCTGAAGGGTCCAGTTAAGTCAATGTCCAATTATATAATGAGGAGATAGGGATCTGTTTAGCTTTTTAGAAAATTACATTCCACTGAAACAGTATAACTGGAACCGTAGAAGTAGGAGGAAAACTATTTTCCATTCTGAAATATGTCTTTGTGTAGTGCTGCGAGTTGGGTTTTTTAAACTTGCTAACAGTAACTAATAACTTCTACATTATACAGTCCACACTGAGTCATTGTTTACTCAGGGAAATGACTTTCAACAGCCAGACCTGTTTGCTAACTTTAATAACTAAAATATGCAGTTCCACGCATTATAAAGCAGCACACTATAATCAACATTTTTTTAAAAACAAAAACTGACACATATTTGCAACACCACAGAGTGTTGCATTAGAAGTAGTATTTCTGCAGTTCAGGTTTTCATCTGCAGCAAAGGCTGATGTGTCCAATGGTGCAGTTTTGAGAAGAAGGAAAATTATTGCACAAAATTATTGTTGGGTTTTTTCTAGAGTTTTATTGAACCTTCCAAATTAGAGACCAGAGAGCCTTGTTCTGTGTCCACACGTCCTGTTGTTTTAAATAACAGGTTGTCTTATACTCTTAAAATTTTGGAGTCTGTTCAGAATTGTCTCTTCTGCATCTTGGGAGGGAAAGCCACACCTTTGCACCAGGAAGCCAGGAATTCAATCTCTGACAGAACTGGAAGTTAGACAGCAAAACAGATGTTTCTTTTGCCTTCTTTTAAGTGAGCACTGACGTTCAGTTGCGAGTGGTTTTCTTGCTTTTTCTTGACTGTTTATCTGTTATTTTGTGTTAGCACATTATTTTGTCACGGATATTACAGGTAGCTTTCCTACCCATCCATTACAAGTGTTAAGATTATAATAACAACCAGGGTTTGTACACCAGCTTGTTTTTTGGGAGTGAACAAACAACGCCAAGTGCACACGATGCAGTATAATAGGGTTTCTCCATCGGTTTGTTCATGTGGGAATGAAGTGGGGGCAGCTGAGCGTGCCTGACTCGCCTGTGAAGGGACAGTGTGGGAAGAATGTTTGCACTGTTAAAATGTAACTTTTGAAGATATTTCAGATCCTCCTTTTGAATTCATGCATTTCTGAATTTTGTGGTCCGTTCTCTTTCCTTCAGAGCTACTAAGTACCACGTAATTAGAAAAATATTGCAACTTGGAAGAGAAGATTCAGAGCAATATGATTACTGGAAAAACTCAGTAATGTATAATGACGAACTGCTTTTATATCTGTTTATATCCCAAAAACAACAAACAAACAAAAAATATCACTTTTCTAAAGTTAACCAAATGCTGCGTTTTGAAGAGTGCATTCAAAAGGTATATTTTTGATTTCTCCTAAAGTCACAGGCTTTTTTTGGTCATAATTCTGTTTGGAAATAGGAAAACTTAAGGCCTCATTTGAAAATGAGGGCAAATATCAAATATGTGACTCCCAACAGTCCCATTTTATTTGTGCATGGATTTGTTGCTCTTAAAGTTGGAGGTAGGAATCAAAAGCAAGTTGTGCAGAGAAGTACAGAGTGTGTTTCTGTGTACCTAACTGTAGCACTCTGTGGGAATGCAGATGATTTCTAACTTTAATCTTGCTGATCTTCTGTCCGGAAAGCTCCTGGATAGGAACTGGGAACCATGGAGCCATTAGCAAAGCCACTTATGGTGCCATTAGCAAAGCAAGAACACCTATTGATTAAACAAGCATGGTGGGGTTTTGCGTCATTCCTAGACCTTAGGAAAGTGTTGCTCTGAAACTCTGATTATTTTTTTTTTTTTTACCATCTCAGAATTTCTCATATTTTATTTTTGTGCCTCCATTAACACAATTAACTGTACGGTGCTGTGAGAATCCTGGCAGGATTTGGAGTTACTGAGAGAGCCAGCGTGTTTCCTTGGGCATAAAATCATGGTGTTCTGAGCGTAGGATGTCTGGATGGATGCTGGTTTGGTTCTGGTCAGCTGGGGTGTAGAAGGTGAAGTCAAAGTATGGATGCAGGTATCAAGATGAGACACTGTTGATAGGATAAGGAACTTACACGTTCATAACCTTAAGGGGATTTTAATATTTTGTGCTGGCTGAAGGGGTGGGAATCTGAAAGAAATTACAGACTGAAAACATTTGGGAGGCCAGAAAGAAAAGCGGAGGCTGGAAAGGGGTAGGAGTCTGGAAGGGGATGGGAAGCCGAAGAGAATGAAAAGGAGTGGGAGACCAGTAAGAAAAGTGGAGACCAAAAAGGAGTATGAGGCCAAAATAGTGTGGGAAGTCAGGAAGAAAAGTAGAGGCCAGGAAGAAGGTTGAAGGGGATAAAAAAGGGTGGGCAGAAAAGTTTGGGAGGCCAAAATAAGCCTGTATCACAGATCGAACTTACTTTGCGCTCCTTTTTATCTCTACATCCTCCTGAAGCAGTGTATCCACAGGCTATTTAGCAGAGCTGAAGAAAATTAAAGCTCAGCTTTATGTAATAACTTAGAGACAAATGCCTGTATCTTGGCTCTTATATTATTTCAGTTGGCGCTTAGTTTCAGCACTTAGAATTTTGGGTTCCATCAGGAAGCATTTCTTTAAATTGTTTGAAATCTTGGCTGTTAGAGAAGCAGAGCTGAGCAGTAGCACTGTCTGTCCATTGTGTGTTGGCTGCCTTAAAGTACTGTCCTTTAAGATCACCAAGATGTCTCCTCAGTCCATAGAAGCTGCAGTGCTCTCATGACTCTTCATGCAGAGATTGGAGCAAGCTAGAAGCAATTTGGGATAATAGAAGGGATAATTGATGCAATTTTATGAGCTATTTCTAAATCAGGTGTGTTAGAGTCCCTAAAACATCTAAGAAAAACTTGTGATGACATAAAGATACGAGCACAATATCTTTTCTTTTAGCCTGATATAATTAAAGAATACATGGATTGATGGTTATGGGCCATTTCTATATTTGGGTAAAGCTTTCAGACATTATTTGTCTCAAGTATAAACTAATTTGATTTAACTCTGTGCTGATACAAGGAAGAAAGATAAAGGAAAAGAGAGCAGTGACCACCTTGAAACCTTCCTCTGCTGCGTTGGAGAGAGCAGGGGGTGCCTGGTGCTGGGAGCCTGCCAGGTGGTGAGTACTGGAAGTGAGGACTTCTGGGTTGCTCTGGCAGCTGGATCATGAGGGCACCATGTGAAGAGGAAATGTCGCAAGAGATGTGAAGTTCTGTATGCAAACAACCTGCAGAGCAAAAGGGGGTGTTTGATCTCTCTCTCTTTAAACAAACCTGACCGGTTGCCAAGTATCTGTTTCTGCTCTGGTGATTCCGTGTCTAGGTGGGGACAGAGGGGAGCTCCTTCCAGCCTTAAGCCTTGAATATATTTACCTGGCAACTGCTGTTACCCAAACCACTTTCTTAGCTCGGCTTGCAATGGGAGGAAAATTCCTCAAAGTAGCTCTGTGTGGGATGAGAATGTGAACTATGTCCAGGCTGAAGTCCATGGAACTCAAAAGCTGCACTCATGTATCTGTTTACTTTTTTCTTAGAGGCTTCAGGTAAGTTGACTATTTGTTATTGAATGGATTTTTGCCTGAAATACTAATTGTCTGCCATCAGAAATAAGTAGCCTCTGTGAAAGGATCATATTGCCATGAGTGGAAGAAAATCAGTGTTGCCGCAGGTTGAGTGCACATGTCAGGAAAGAAATATTTTCCAAGCATTGTACAAGCAAGCTATTACATTCTGAGGAAATTTTTGTTGTGACAAATCTTCCTTTTTTTATTTTGGATGGGCTGGGAAAGTAAATTCTGGTATAAAGCTCTAAAAGTAGCTGTCAGCTTGGTACCTGGCCTGTTTTGAGCAGTGAATTTCTCTGGTTAATCTCCCCAGCACTGTGCTGAACTCCTGATAGTGCTTTTCAGGTCATACTTTCACTGGCCCCAAACCAAATTATCTTAATTGCAAACCACTTATCTGAACTGATGGTTAGTCAACACAAATGTGACACAGTGTTCGTTAGAGTAGAAAATCAATCAGTGTTTAGTGTGGGCTGGACTGAGATCTGCGGATTGATAGGGAACGAGAGGGTGCATTTGGGTCAATCACTGGGGCTGTGACGAGTCTGTGAAGTCACCTTCCCCTCTCCTGTGTGTTTGCCAGTGGAGTCCAGCATCATCAGCCCTGGTTTCTAATGCACCTGCCAAAAGGTGTCAGTTGTTCATGATGCTGGTGAGGAGCAGAGCAGTGTAGTAGCCAGGCACGTTTCTGCTGGCAAATCTGATGTGACATACATACCCACACGCGTCAGGTTAGGTCATTTCTGTTGCTGATTTCCTGATCATGGAACACTACAGCTGACAGTCTGTAGCCTCTTGTGTCATTCCTTGCCTTCTCCTGGAGGCTGTTGATGGTGATAATATACGTGCATTGCTTCTCAAGGCTTTAAACGTTTGGAGGCATGTATGTGTGTAAAGGGTAAGGGGACAAAGCAAGCAGCCAGAGAATCTTAAGAGCTTCCTCCACGTCACTCTCAATGAAATGCCCTTTGTTTACTTGTCTGCCAGGAGGATGTATTCCCCCAGTAACTAACGTGAAGTTCTATTTAAATTGGTTTGGCTGTAGTTCTCTACAGCTCTGCCTACAGTTCTCTCTACAATTTTGCCTTGTACCTGCACCAGCAGCCGCTTGACCCTTTGGTGAGTGAATTGAAACAAAAATTGGAGAACAATGATGAAGGAAAAAAAAAAGCTTCTCTTTATTTAGTTCCCTGAATTGTCTCATCACAGAGCTGAAGAGGTCTCAGTCCCCGTACAGAGGAAGGAGAGGGCCAGGACAAGAACAGCTGGGGACAGAGGATGTCAGCTGCCTAGGTCAGCTTGCAGCAGCCTGAGACTGCTCTCTGGCACCTCAGAGGACACCTCCTATGATCTTTCCACCTTGGAGAAGTGTCTGTAATGTAATGCTGTAGGAATGATGGCTTGCGTAGCCGTTCTCTTCTTGTGCTACTGTTTTTTTGATCCTTGAAGTCAGTGGTAGTGAGAAGTTCGAGTTTACGAGAAGGTTCTGCAGTCATACTGGGGGACTTTTGTGCCCTGATGCGTGGGCTGAATGGCACTAAAACCTCCCAGCTTGTGGATGTGGAGCTAGGCCAGCTGTTTGGAACATAAATGGTAATTAGTTGTCTTTTAAGTGTTGGCTGTATTAAGATTTACAAATAGAATATGCTATCTCCACTCCACTTCTTGTAATGGGGATTCCCAGGCTAGAATACTTAGAGCTTCTCAGCAGTACAGTAACCACCTGCCCGTGGAGTGCCTGCGTTGCTGTTGCCCATTAACGTGGTATCAGGTCAGGGATAGAGGAGCACTGATAAATCCTGGTGCAGCCAGCCAGGGAAACCACCCTTAGACACGGAGCCAAGGGAGGCTGGTGTCTGTTCTACCTCTTGCTTGAACAGCACACAGAGTGGCTGGGGTTCAAAGTGGGGAGTGTACCCCAAATCAGAGGGGTTGGGTGATGATGTCTGGTGTGTTTTGCTCTCTCTGGAGCAGATAGAGCTCTGCCTCTTCCCAGAGCATTGCCCTTTGTGGATGGAGGTTGGGAGAGCCAGTGCAATGGGGGCCCGGAGGGAGGGCCCCCCCAGTCCAGCTGGGGACCCAGGGATACCCACTTTTGCACTGCTTTTTCAACAGGTCTAAACGTTCAAAGGAACCTTTGGGCCCTGTGGGACTCTTTAGCAAGGTATATGTGGGGGGCAGTAGGACAAGGTGACTGTGTTGTGGTATCTGAGCATGACGTTGTAATCGACACAGGCAGAAAGGGTAAGGGAGAAGGAATTCATTTGGCTGCCAAAACCTTTCGTGCGAGAGGTTGGATCTGGACGGGTGCCCTTTCTGGGCATACGTGCAGGTTCCTACAATTTGTAGCTGCTATTGCTGTCACCACCAGTAGTGGCACCCCAAGTAAACAAAATTAAGGAACGCCATCCTGCAATAGAAACTTCGTGAGGCTATTTCTAGCTGGAGTTGAAGCTGCATGTGATTTAGCAGACTGTACCCTCATTGTGAGGGTAGGAGGCAACCAAAAGTGGTTTGAACTGGAATTCTTTAGAGTATTGTTGCTAACGCTGTAGTGGGCAGCTGGATTAAACTATTTTGGAGCTTTACTCCTTTTTGATACCATACTAGCATTCTTGTTACAGAGACTTCATAACAAGCTAAAAAAGTTTGGCAGTTGCTAGCGCATACCCATATTTTTAGATACTCTATTGATTTTCTTTTTTTCCCAGAAAAAGAGATCTTCTGGTAAAAGACAGTTAAAGAAACAACTTTTAAAAGTACATACTGAACACAAAGAGTGTCACCCAGCAGTTAAGCTGGAGCAACAGGGTCAGTAATGGGTTTGGATTAGTGAATTTTGGAGTAGTGGGGATCAGCTTTGCAGGGAAGGGTGGTACCTGTGTGTAGTTACTCCTGTGAGCCATCAGCTGTTCCAGTAACTCTCCAGAACGTGGAATTTGTCAGATCCCCAGACAAGTGTGTGTTGCCTTTCTGCTGCCTGTCACAGACACCAGGAATCCTGAGAATGCAAAGGACTCTCACATTCCAGTCCTGTGTGCTCGCCCTTCCCCTCCTCCTCTAGGGGCTGGTGGAAGCAGGAAAGGGGGTCTGGGCTGGAAATACAAAGGCAAAAAAGAGGAATTAGTGAATATAGAGCAGATCAATGCCCATCACTCACTGTACTTTGCCACTCCCACTCCCCCTTCCATTGTGGAAAGTCTGATTAAAGTCAGCCGCTCCGCCCTGACTGTCTGAACCATACATCCATGCACAAATGCCAGATTCTCTTCATTCCAGGCTGCTGACTTCAAGAAGGACTTGCTCTGACAAGCTGGAAATGAGGGTTGGCAGCTTCGTCTGCAACTCAAAAGGCTTTATCTCTCTTAGGACGCTCTTCCTAACGTTTCCCACAAATACTGCTCTGCTGGTAGGAGCTGTTGTACACACAGGACGCCATCAGGCATTTATGAATAAAGCTTTATGTTGTGTAACTCTCCTTAGAACGGGCGCGGAAGACTTCAGAGAGCAGTTGGCATCAGGCCCACAGCAGAGCTTGCTCTCCTTGTGCTTCAGCCTCATTATTTGGGGAGTGGTAGGGAGAGTCAGCTCAGCCTTTTGATTCTTTTGTCCCCCTACCAAGAGCTGGTGTTCTTTCCTTCACAAAAGTTCTACTGTCCAGCCTTCTGCTCCCACTTTGAATATGTCCATCAGCTGATGGTGGGTTCACCTCCAGCTTCCACAGCGTGTTCCTGCAGTTCATCACCTTTGCCTCTCTCTTTTCTCTCTGAACTGAACTCCCACCTGGCTGTCCCTTTGCTTCTTCCCCACTTCACCATGGCAAGCACAAGTTCCTTGACTTCTAGGATCATTCTGGCTCCACCAGCAACTTGTTTCCCTGATCTTGCCTCCTGGCATTATTGCTTCACTGCTGCTTCTGCTCGGTGAAGGATGCCAACTGTGTCCACCTGCTGGTTTTTTTTTTTTTGCATGTGCTTTTAAGCTGTCTGCTTATGCTGCATACGCAATCCTTCACTTAGAATATTTATACTCCCTGACCTGTCTCAATCAATTGATGAACTCAGCCTGCAATAAATGCTTTCCCAGAGTGAAACCTATTTGAGAGATGTTATAATGGTTCTAGAGAGCGTCTGTGCCAGTAATTGCAAGATGGCCAAGCTCTTTGGATGTTGTTTTTCTTTCAAAATGGGTATTAGAGCAAGTAGATTTTTACATTCATATAATATTTATGTGAAATTGAGATAACTTTAAGCTCGATGCAGTTAAGGCATGCGCCCAGCTATAAAAATTCATCGTAAATCAAATTTGAGTAGTCATTATGGTTGTGACATGATTTCTGCTTAAAAGGCTACCCTTAATGTCATCATCATATTGCTTCAGAAGCAGCTCGCCAGTGTTATTTTAGGTTGCAGAGGGTGTGTACATTTATGTATTTTCTAAAAACCATAAGACCTGCCAGTATCAAATGCCTGACCGATACTTCACAGATTTCACAACTGGCTGTTAGTAGACAAAACTCTTTCTTTTTGTCTGATTTATGAGGGAGGGCTGTTCTCACAGGGGCTCTGGCCTTGACTTATGGCCGTATAACTGATCGTGTTGTGCAGAAAAGGGATCCCACTAGTCTTAGCTCCAAATCCTTTCTCCTGACCATGGGACTGTACTTTCTGGACACTGTGTGAAAAAGATTGGTGAAACAAAAGCGCTCATTTCCCCTTATCTGGCTTAATGTGCAAAGAGCAAGCAGCTCCGAAGCAGCGATAGGAGAGAATTGGAATCAGTGTTGTAGTGAGGATTTTGAACAAGAAGCCGCCATGAAGTACCCACAGCATTTAACCTCTGTGTTTTATTCATCCTGGAGCAAGTGTAATTTAAAGTGACACCTCTATAATTGATGAAGGATCTTTTTACCATTTGTTTAATTACCAGTTTCAATGTCTAGAAAGCAGTGGATCAATAATTTACAGTGATGAACTTCCCTGTGTCCCTCCGTTTGTCTAGTTCAGCCGTACAAACAATAGCTCCTGAGACAAACCCTCAAGTTTTGATGCTTTTCTTTTTCTTTAGGTGATTTGAAAGAGCTAAATTTTTTTTTTTCCTGCCGCAGATGTACTCCAACACAACTGCAGCTGATGGCAGAGCTCCCCCTGACCTCAGCAAAGCAGAGTTAATCCAGGGCTTGCCGTGACACTGTATCAGCTCTCATCTTTTTGCAGTCTCCTGTCATTATTGTACAGTGGTGAAGGCTGGGTTCATTGTTGCTACAACAACAAATGATGCTGCCCTGGCAATATCTGAGAGCTGTTAGAAAATTTAAGCAAAGGAACCAAAGCTGCTGCCTTTGTTTTGTATTTATGTCTTACCTTATAGGCTTGGATAACATGTATTGATTTTTCTGTGGGAGATACCTATTCTTGAGACTCTTGGACCCTTCTTTCAGGTTAGAGCCCAGATTCTCCCATGGCCCTGAATGAGAATATGTGAATTCTAGAGAATCAGAATTCTAGAGAATCTGTGCCTGTTGAATCAGAGGAAAGAAAGAGTTTCCTTTCCAGTGAGACCTTCTGACAGTTCTGTCATCATCCCAGCTGCCATGGACAATAGGATTTGCTCAGGCAGCATCGCAACAAAAGATCCCCAACCTCCATGAGATCTCCAAATCCACATGCTTCTAGCAGGATGTGGCCTTACGTGGAAAGGAATCCCACCTACGCAGTGGTTATCTCAAGGCAGAAGGACACCTTTCACTTTTTTGAGGATGTCCTCGTTATCTGCATCAGCACAAGTGGCTGCTTCCCCTTTCCTGTCTCTTAGGGGTGCTGGTCCTCATCTTCAGAATGCTGTGGGACACTTGGTACTTCCATTAATGTCTCTACTGTCACAACCAGCTGATTATACCCAAGTAACAGGAGCTGTGAATTCCTCCAGGATCTCTTGTTTGAGTTGGAGGTCGCAGCCCAGAACTTTTCTTTGATATGGTAGAAGTATGGTAGATTGCTGGGCCTGCCTGTGGCTACCTATTTTATCTCTTTTTCAGCCACCCATTGTAGGGCTATAAGTAAATCAGAGAGAGAGAAAGAAAAGGATTTGGATGTAGCCACAGCTGGGGAATGAATGTTTCCATTCACTGCATAGGCCCATGTTTATCCAGATGTGGAACACGCATTCCTGAGAACCACAAAGGAATGGGCTCCTTGATTATTCTTTAGTGTGTATTTTGTCTTTGTTTTTGATTAAAACTATGTCCCTGTTAATGTAGAAAATCTTGAAAATGCTGTGAGCAGGACAGTGTAGTTGTTCTGAGTGAGCAGGGAGGTGAAGCCATGTCTCAGAGATGAGATATTCTTACACTTCAAAGGATGCTTACTAAGTTGCAAGCCAATGACTTTTTTCCAATTTATTCTTATTTTTTTTAACATCAGTGGGATTGCTTCGTCTTTTACTTAAAAAAAAATCTTGATTTTTTTTTTTAATTAATAGGAGTATCAATTTTTAAAATGTTGGAAAACAGTATTCTGGATCATTTGAGTGCAAGCTGATGTTGGTGGATGAGGGATGTCCTTCTGAAATGATATCTGTATTTTCCATACATCCTGGAATACTTCTCCCAACACGACGGCAACTCATCGTTCCCTTTTTACTGTTAACCGGGGATATATCTATTTCAGGATAAAAATGTTTGCAATTCACAAAACCATTAAAGACTTTGTTCACTGTGGGATCTGTGGGGTACTGTCAGCCCGGTCAGAAGGAGATTACCTCAGACAATACCCTTCATCTGGTGGCTTTTACCCTCTTTTTCAGCAGCAGCAGCAGAGACGGGGTAAAGGGAAGCAGTTCAGACATCAGCCAGCTGCAATATCATCTGCCCACGTGCTCCTCTTGGTTGCCAGGCCCCAAGGCTGACACGCTGCCAGAGAGCCCGTCTGCGCTGCCTGTCGACTTTTCTTTAGGCTGCTTTTGCAAACTGCTTAGGCCCTTCCTTTTAGTCTAATCTGGAATTTCTACAGATCATTGGATGTTCTTATTTTTGGGTTCGTAATCTAGTTTTACTCCAGACTGTTGTTGAAACTCTTTCTTTAAACTTTTCATAGGGGACTTATGCCATCACAATAAATGTCAAATGCTCTTTGTTCCCTTACAAAGAAGGGTTTGAGAGAAGTTCAATACCATATGTGTTCCTAATAGTCTTATTAGAACTTATTTATAACTTTTCACTGTCCCAAAATAACTGCCTGCCTTGGGCCAAGAAAGTCAGTTTGGGACAGAGAAAAAAAAGTGGTGGAAGTACAAATTGTGCCTGTAAAATCCACACTTATAAATCATCAAATTAAAAACTACTCGGCTTGTTTGAACGTCTAAAGCATTGAACGTGCCCTTTTTCTGGGTGCACAGAACTGTGCTCCACTTGGTAGTTTGTTGTTTGCTAACAGCATTGCTAAGTTTGCATTAAAAAAGAGTCACACCCAGAAGGAAAATAAGAACTTGTTTCTCCCAGGTGTTGCCCACTTTGGTGTCAGAATGAAATGTCACAGGGACACCTGCAGATTGGCGTGTTGGGTTGGTTTATTTTCCTTAAGGAACCTATAGACACGACATGGAACAGACCTGACACATGCCAAATATATACCAATGCGAAATGTTGCTTATAGCAACATTTGCCTAAAACTGATATATACATCCTTATGCTACTATAAACTTTCCATAGTAGGGATTTGGTTATTACACTATCAGGAGCAGGGAGTAGGAGTAGTTGTTGGGGCATCACTCATGTACAAACTATTTTATAAAAAGAAAACCCAGAAATTCAGGAAATACATCCCTCATGTGATCCTCTCTCCTGTGCTTTTCAGGAAAGTTTTAGCCATTTATTTTTCTGACAATGGAAGCTTGAATATATGAATATAATCTAGAATATTACCTGTGCTCCAGTCTCTACATAACAGAAAAGTTCATGGTTTTGACGGCAAACTAGGAGTTCAACAACAGCTTTATTCAGACTTTATGAAAAGCTTCATGTTAAGTAAAGGAAACAATTTCATTTGGTTATTTTGGAGGGAGGTATTTCCTTTTTAAACTACTTTTCAAGTACCAAGTGGTCGGGGTTTGGGTGTGGTTTGTTTTAATGCAAAACTGCATTGATGAAAGTTGTCCTACATTGTCCTTTTTTCTTTTAATTGGCAAGTCAGTCAAGTTTAGTTGTTTCATATAAAGCAGTCTGATATAGTAGATAAATCTGTTATTTGGATTTCTGTAAAGTGATACGTGCTGACACAATTAAGCATAATGTCATTCAGATACCCTTCCCTAGGTTTCAGATTTAACCCACTAAAAAAAACAAAGCAGCTTAAATTTACTGTTTTGCTGTCATCAGTTGTAAACAGATAGTTCCTATATTTAGAGGAGAATTTCGCTATTATCATCAGTGGCATATTCTCATTAAAAGCTGGGAAAAACCTGGGATCCTGTCAATATAACATTAGTAGGGATGGTTCATCTCTGCTTCCAGGTTCCTAGTCTCATACCTGTGATTATTCTCGCTTTTTAGAGCCAAGACAAATGTGTTATTTCTGCTGGAACAGACTTTTTGAAACTTAACAAACAACCTACTGACTGCATCCTTTGACTTGGTAAGAAAAATAAGTAGAGAAGACAACAATGTTCAGGTCCAGGCATAAAGTTGAGACTTCATACTGACTAAAATGCAAAGGGAGCTAGTTCCCAAAACGTTGTTTTATCCAAAATTAATTAACTTTCTGGTACCACTGACCACAAGCAATACCAGCAGAGGTCATCTTTCTGAATTGTTTTATAATTGTTATACAGCAGTTATTACATTAGAAAAGAGGCTTAAGGGTATTTAATCTAGAATGCCTGCTTGTAGTTGGATTTCTCTAAGAGTCATAACCATTTATGTTTGCCAGTTCTGAAAAAAACCTGCCTGTTGCCTTCACTTGTTTTCCCTCTCACTGTGCAGGCAAGAATGTGAAATACCTAATTGGACAAAAATTAAAGGTCAGTTTAAAAATCTTCAGAAATCAAGATGTCCCTAAAGATAAGTTAAATATGAAACATCCCTCCTGTGACAGAGTTGCTCTATGCCCTGGAAAGCTTAACACACCCTTTCCTGGCCAGGTAGTATGGGGACAAGGTATGAGCAACTGGTGAGGAACGTACCTGAGAGCCTGGTTGCACTGGAGCAATCCTCTGGAACAGTACAGGGAATGGTAAATCTCAGCCATGGTCTCACTGGGACTGTGAAGCTCCTGATGCTGTGATGTGCTTCTGCTGTCAAAGATCTGTCCTAACTATCTCCTCAGTGAGCCTTTCATAAGGCTTGCTTTTTCTATTTTTTTAAGGCTCTCAGCTTAACTTTGCCGTGGCAAACTGACCCTTTCAGCCCGAGGAGGTCTCACCAGCTAACACGTTGAAAATCTTGGCTGGGGTTTGCCCTCGAGTTCCTCTGGAAGCTGTGTAACTCCACAGGGGCTGCATTTGTAGACAGAAGAGAGGCAGGAGGTGGCAGGGCTACAGATAGGGAATTATTTGTCCGTTTTGTCACAACCATCTGTTGCTGTCAGGAAAAAATAAAAGTCTGGGTGATAAACCTGTCTAGGAATTTACATTGTACTCATTTCCATGGCAGCTACGGGGCTGTGTCAGACTGTGTTTGCTCTCTGCACTGGGAGGTGGAAAGATACCCCTCTCTGGGGATCACAGGGAAACGATCCAGTTAAATCACTTCATCCAAACGAGGTCTTTGTGAGCGTTGTGGTAGGAACTCCCTGTCGTTTGTGTAAGGAGGAGGAAAATATGTCTTTAGCTGGGTTTGCAGGTTCTGCATTTGTTGAAGTGACAGCAGAAGGTGTGTGCTGGAGCTACGATGACGGCTCCAGACAGGAGTCGCTCTGAGAGTCCTCCTGAGACACACACAGCTTGTAGTTACAGCTGCTGCTGAAACTGTTGGCCTGTGAGACATCAGTGCATTCAATTAGGTGTGAGCGCTTTGAAAATTGGGTTAAATGGCTCCTTCCACAGGCGCCCAACATCTTTACAGTTTAAACCAAAATGAGTGAGAGCTGGCCAGGTCACCAAACGCAGCAGCAAACGGTTGTGGATCTGCTGCCCGGGAAGGGCAGGTGGGGGCTGTCACCCTTCCTTCTGCATTAGTGCTGCCCCCCCCATGCTTTTGGACGGGGCTGTGTCTTTCCCTGCCTTTTCCCCAGCAGAGATGATTTGCAAGTGCTATTTTGTAGCTTTAAACGTCTGTTCTGTCCTTTTTCCTTCTGTGAAAAAAGCAATGACATGATAGAAAAAGGAACAAAGCGACTCTAATTTGTATATTTAGTTTCTCTCTGGGGCTGTGGGAGAGGCCAACCTCTGCCCAGAAGAGGAGTCCCAGGCTAAGTGCTGCCCATCTCTCTGGGGGGAACCTTGGGTTCCCGGACGCTGCCTGCCCGGAGGGGACCCATGTGTGAAGAGCCCTGCTCTCTGCCTCTTGTGTCCCTCCTCAGTATACTCTTGTATGTTCTTCTTTTCCAGACTGCAAACAGTTTAGTGCTGCTCTGGCCTTATATAGTAATTTCCTATTATTAGAAACATTTCCTTGGGATCTTTGCTCAGGGAGTAGCAGGGGGAAATCCTGTTTCCTTCATCTAACATGCAGGCAAAGCACCAGTGTTCACTCTTTCCTTATCTAGTGCCGATGGAACAAGAAGTTTTTGTTATGATGTGCTTTCCAGTCTAAATCCCTTTCTAACACTAAGGCTCTTTTCAGAAACGTAGAAACAGAAGTTTGAAGGAGTAGGAGCTGTCAGCCACCAATGAGAGCTGTGCAGCCTTGTCCACAGCTTCTAAGTTCTGCCTGTTCTTTCTCAGCCGTGGCTTTCTCTCTCAGATTTAGTCATCTGGGTGCTTTGGAAAACAAATTCTCTTCTTCTTGTTGTGAAAAATAGTGTGATAAAATACTTCACCTGGGTCTGCCGGGGTATCGATAGAAAACTAATGGCTGTGTTAAAAAAAGAGGAATAATTATATATTAAGGAGGGAGAAGGTTTTGTTTTGGGTGAATACGAATGTGTCTTTAAAGGAGAGATTGGTCGCTGAAAGCACAGAGATATGCACAGGCTTTGAACACTTAATTTTTCCTGTGAAAACATTTTTTCCCCTTAAAAGGAAGCTGTAGGTCCTGCCACTGGGAGTGACTGTTTAGAAAGTCAGTCGGGAGGAATGCACATCAGCTGGACTGAGTCAGGCTGTTTGTATTCACAGCTCCCTCCAAACGGCTCTCCTTGTCCTCGCCACAGCCCCGGCAGGGGAGCTGCTTAAAAACCATTCCATCAAAGTCAGGGCAAAGCAATCAAACCCAATTAACTGTTGTTTTTAAACTCTTTGCTATTGAAGTTGGCTCAGCAGTTACTGTTGGAGTGGGAATGGGAGGGCTGTGTTTGTAACATCAGCGGTCCTGCAGAACCACCAGCAGAGCCAGAGCCGTGACACAAACTGCCATCATATTAGGGGCATCTGGGAATTATAAAGTGGGACTTTGTTCCGACAGTCACTGTCCAAGCCAGTCATCCATTTCTGTCTCGCTGGTTCAGCAGAGAGCAACAAGGCAAACTTACCTTAATTTGTTAGATTAACCCAGTTTTGGTTTTCCCTTACGTCACAGACCCAGAATTATTGTGTGTGTGCGGGAGCCATAACTAAATACGAGTGCTGCGTGTGTGCTTTTTAACCCACTGTTTCTCAAACACATCTATCATCAGAGATACCAAAGTAGTGAATAGCACCTACAGGGAAAGTGGAGTACAAGGAGAGGTGTGCGTCTCCGTCTTCATTTTTTTGGTAATACTCCATTTTTTTGGTAATACTCTTGTTTATTTGTGAAAGACTGAGCTTGGGAAGAAGAGATGTTTGGTGTTCTCACTGTTGAAGCTTTCTTGAAACAAACAAAACCAGTATTGACAGTTTTAGGCATTACAAAGCATAAATTAGAATCCAAAATAATAATTTAAATATTCTTTGTCTTCTGGTTTTTGAACCCTCTTGGCCACACCTATCATGTTTTAAAGCTTTTGTCTATAATCGTGCAAACACATTCACACAGAATCGGAGAATTTGGAGAACTCGTGGTGATGTCATGAAGTTTGCAGTAACATTAAGGAACTTTACAGTCTTGAGACACCTTTCGAGTGAGTATAATGGGCTTTTGATTTAACCTTGATAGTTCTGCAGTTTCATAATTGACTGGGAATGTTGTGTCTCCAGGGACCAATGTCCTGTGTCCTGGCTTCTGTTCCTCACTACTTGTTCAGGGGACAGCTGGATACTCTTTGCATGGGGAACAAGGAGATGCATTAACACAAACAAAAAGAGGGTAGAAACCAGACAATTCTTAGTGGAGCTAATGGTATGGGGAAGAGGTTCTGCCTTGTTATCAAGCCTGTTACAATATTTAATGTTGCTGCTTTGTCAGGGCATTGATTTATCCAGTTGTCGTGCAGTCAGATGTTCATCCTCTGCTGGAACAGGGTTTTTTCCTAAGCAATGGGCCAAATGTCCGTCGGAACCTCCAGTTTCTGCTATAGGTTATTTTAGGAATGCGAGGCATTTTAATTAGTTTTAGGTCAGTATAGTCTTTAATTAGTTTTAGGTCAGTATAGTCTCGACAGCAGGACACATGTGATAGGTTAAAGAGATTTCTATTTTTTAAGACGTTCCTCTGACCTGCGAGAGGAAGGGCTCTCAAATTCCTGGCCTGTTTAGGGTGGTTTGTTTCCCATGGTGTCTTTGCCAAGTGCCTTCTAATTATGGAATGTGTGCTATTCTCTAGTTCTTTTGCGAGGCAGAAATAATTACTATTATAAAAAATCCAGGAAAAGAAAAAATATATGCGTTGATAGATGAACTTGACGCCTTTTGCTTTTGGAGTCGTGTAGATGTGATCCATGTTGATTTTTGACTAGCGTAAAGCCAAGCCAGTGTCTCTTACCTCCAGATGTACGTGGTGCAGGGGAATCTGCTCAACACTGGTTTGCTGATGGGGCCAAACTCTCTTTTTCAGCCGAGCCACTGCTCGGGGCAGAGCGGGATCCCGTCGGAGCAGGGCTGACAGGAAAGGCTTCCCGTCCCCTTGCTTTGAATGTGAAATTGTATGCAGGGAATCAGCTGCTTATCAGCGCCGAGCAGAGCAATCCCAGTGCTCTAATCCAGGCTTTCTATGAGTCACTTCTAACTGGTGAGGCTTGGAAAACTTGATTCATACCTCTGCCTGTAGTTGCCTGTACTGGTGATACAGACCCAGCCAGCCATCCTCAGCAGAAATCACAGACAAGGGCTGGGCTCTCTTGCTGGAAAGGGGAGAACCCGGTTTTATCACCTTAACAGTCCAGGATCAAGATCTTTGAAATCAAAATTATGTTGGTTGTCTCTGCTTTCCAATTATTTTCTTTTCTCCCCCCTCCCAGTTAAGGCGAAGCCACACGCAGCAGCGCTTGCCTCGCCAACAAGAGCAGGGCAGCAGTTCCACTACAGAGAAGCAGATGTTTTGAGTAAAGATCTTCCCAGTGAATAAATAAATAAATAAAATGGTTCTCCTGTGTGAAAAAGTCAAGGGAAATGTGTAAAAAAGGCCAAAACCAACCACGCAAACAAACAAAAAAAGCAAACCCAAAACAACCAAAAAACCCAACCCACAAACAAACCCCAGACAACAAGCACCTTCTCTCCCCCCCCCCAAGTACTTCTGAATACCATGGGCTTTTATATATCTCCTCTTACGTGGCATTTTCAGTGATGAGATGTGTTCCAGGAAGTGTTAGGAGGTGTAAACTAGGGGAAAGGTGAAGTTGTTAATGTGAAGATAACTCTCTGCAAATACATACGTTAAAATTATATTGTGAGTTTTATTGACTCTGTTGTTTGGCTACAACTAGGCTGATTTGAGACATTGTGATGGAGAACTGACATTCCCCTCCTGAAGAATTAGAGCTGCCAGGCTACAGCTCTGATTATACTCGGAAAACTCCTGGCTCAGGGCTTGCTGTTGGGATTCAGTGGTGGTTAATGCGGCTCAATTTGGGAAATGCAGCTTAGATTTACCTTTGATCTTACCTGTGTTCTGCACTGAGCCTGGCTTTGCAGCAGTGTCTTGTGTCTTTCAATGCTCTGAAATACACCCGTGCTAAACCCACCTGTGAAACGTGTCCTGAGGCTGCCTCCCTTATTAATTCACCAAACTTCTCCATTGCTTGACGATAAGAAGTCAATAAAAATCGTGCCAAATAGTTGTGCAAGAATCGAGAGGTACCACGAGTAATTTTTCAAAAAGGAATCTAACAAGGGCAGAAGAGCTCATGGCACCACGATGTTCTCCAGAAGCGTTACCCGAGCTTTGTCACAAATCCTTGTAAAT